GAGTGTTTTCCATAGGTGGGGGCGGTTCTATCATCTGGGGAAACTTGTTCTTCCTCTTCTGTGGGTAAAGTAAAATTTAGGGTCCCTGGCAAGATAAAATGTCATTGTCTSATGCAGATTGTTCCTCTTGGTTTGTAGTTTTTGTTTCTGAGTGTATTTGAATGGATACATATCCAACAGTATAGTTTTTATATTTAAATAGAAATATATATTTATATCATGTGTATAAAGTATGTATATATATATATATATAAAGTATATATAAATATATATAAATATGCATATAAAGTATATATAAATATATATATACATATAAAGTATGTATAAATATATATAAATAGATATAAATATACAGATAAAGTATATAAAATATATATAAAGTATATATAAATATATATAAATGATATATGAACTATATGTAAATATATATATAAATTATATATAAACTAAATATAAATAGATATATAAAGCATATATAAATATATATATAAACCATACATAAATTATATATTAAAAACATATAAATATATATATAAACTATCTATAAATATATATAAACTATATAAAAATATATATAAACTATATAAATGATACATAAATATATATAAATGATATATAAATATATATATAAATGATATATAAACTAAACTATATATAAATAGTGTATATATATATAAATATATATACTATAAATACATGTAAATATAAATATAAATACATATAAATTATGTATATATACATAATCCACATACAGCAAGGTTTATATTATCCTTTTATATGGGCTCAACAAGAGCAATGCTCCTTATCACATGGTCCTGATGCATTTCATGGTAGGATTTCACTTTTTTCCTACTGGTGTCCATTGGTCKAAAGTCCATTTCAAGTAATTAAGTGTTCATCCCCCCAAAGTAATATTTAATAGTGTTATTGAGCTTTCCAACACTCTTTCCTGAAGCTGATGCTATTTTCTCTCCTACTTAGGTATGGAAGGATGCTGCCACTCAGATTTTCTTCTCCTTATCTGCAGCATGGGGAGGTCTAATTACTCTCTCTTCATACAACAAATTCCACAATAACTGCTACAGGTGTGTAAGAGCCAAATTAATCTGTTTTATTGAACAGGTTTGTCCAAAAACAATTGTCCTTCTTGCAGAAATTTGGTTTGTAAGACCCTCCTTGCTTGTTGTTTTTTTTTTCTCTTGCCATTTCTCTTGTCTTTTTTTCTTCTCCTTTTTCTCTCTTGTTCTTTTGTTTCCTCTTGTCTTTTTTTCCCTCTTGTCTTTTTCCCCCCTCTTTCCCTCTCTTCTTTCTCATTTCTTTTTCTTTCATTTTTTCCATTTTTTTAAACTGTGGGTGGTTTTTTTTTACACATTTAATATTTTTTAGGTGTGAGTATTTTCTCTCCTCCCTGGGTCCTAACCTACTATCCCAAGGTGAACATTTAGGCTCAYTAAAGTTCCTTCTGGCTCCTCAATTTTCAGAATGAGAAGGTTGAGGCTGAAGGGCGATCTGAAAGGTGTCAAAAGCTGTGAGCAGTGAAACAGATTCACTGCTGAAGTTTGCCTTTGTGATGTGATTCTCACATCTCCCAAACATTCTTTTTTATTTATTTTTTTTTAATTACTCTGGTTTTACATGCACAAAGATATTTCATGTTGCAGAATTAAAGATGTTTTTTATCTGGAATTGCTGGAAGCAATTTTTGTGAGGAAAAAGTCAGTGTTGTGGTAGCACCGTGGAGTTTTTCACCCAAAATCTTCCAGCTAAAATGCCTGCAGAGGGAAGAAATGAGCAGGTGGCATTAGTGGGGTGTTCCTGCTGTTTTGCAGCTTTTAAAGCCAGTCTGAAGAAAACCTTTGCCAATTCCTTCTCAGGACACAAAATACTTTAAAAAGAAACATGGATTAGGATGTTAAAAAGGGATTTCAACAACATTTTTACCAGTGCTCAGAAGTAATTTAACATAATTATCCCAGAAATATGGGTGAAAAAAGAACCCCCACCCCAGATGAGGCCAGAGCCCAGTCACACAATGTGTTCCAGAGAGAAGGTTTCAGCCAAGGTTGGACCCTCGAGTTTTGAGACAGCCCAGGGCTCACCCTACTGGGGATGTTTGGTCTTTCTGCCCAGCAGGACCCCCAAACTGAGATGGAATATCAGGCTATAGAAATTACAAGGCAAGGGGTGCAAAAAATACCTAAAAGGGTATAGAAAATATATATATATATATATATATATATAAGGGTGTATGAAAAGAAAATCGTTTGGCATCATCCTCATGAGGCAGAGTTGAAAATGTGTTACAAATCACATTCAGTGCATTGTCCTCTGGACAGCTCTGGTTCCTCCGTGGTTCCTCTATGATTGTGGGTGATTGGAGCTCGTCCAGTGGGTTCCTGGGGTGCTGTGGAGSTTTCTGTGCCCCCTGCTCAGCACCAAAAGCACCTGGCGAGTGCAAAAACGCACCCTGGCCAAGATGTGTGTGCTCATGAGGGGCTCCTGAACCAGCTGAAATCACAAACCCGCCCTGTGAGCATCCCTGACACGCTCCCTGTGCTCCCTGTGCAGGGACACGCTGATTGTCACCTGCACCAACAGTGCCACCAGCATCTTCGCCGGCTTTGTCATCTTCTCTGTCATCGGCTTCATGGCAAACGAGCTCAAAGTGAACATCGAGGCTGTGGCTGACCAAGGTAGGGGGCACTGGCACTGCCAGCTCTGTGATTGATCCATGGGGACATTGGGATTTTTTGGGAATGGTGGTTTCCAGCTGCTGTGGGTTGGTAAAGCACCAAAAGTGGGCATTTCTGCGCAGGAGAARGGACCCTGGGAAGTCAGGATTCAATTAAAGCCTCTTAATCACTTGTTTGGTCAGAGAAGGAAGGAAATTGGGATTAATTTGAGCTGTTTGTGTAAAGGACTGAGGGAGAGTAGGGTGGGATGGCCTCTCCCTGGATCCCAGGGCATTCCTGACCTTCTCTTTGTGCTGCTGGTTGTCAAATCCTCTTCAAGGTAAAAGTTACCTCTGCTGGTGAGAATTTCAGGTGAGAGAAGGGTGGGAGAAATCTGGTGTGAGAGGTGGGTTGAGCTCCTGAGCTGTGGGGAGCACAGAGAAGGAAAACATTTCTGGAGGACTGCTTGGAACATCTCGGTTAATGAAGAGAGAGGGTCATAACTGGGGTCTGGAAGGTTTTAATTAGCACAGCTGAGCAKGGTCATTTCTTGAGTGACTCCACCACCTCCCTGGGCAGCCCACTCCACCCTTTCAGTGAAAAAATTGTTGCCAAGGTCCAGCCTGAACCTGCCCTGGCTCTGCTGGGGCTTCTGTCCCCTTGTCCCATCCCCTGCGCCCTCCTGCAGGGAGTCACTGCAGTTTTTAGGAGTAATGCTGCAGTTTTTAGGAGTAATGCCCACATGAATATTTTTATTTTAGACTTTAGCTCCATTCTGGAGCAAACAAACAGAAGGGGCCCCAAAATCCAGGCCGGGCTGCTCTCACCAGAATGATTTGTGAGGAGTTGGAGCCGAAAAAGCTGCGCTTGAGCAGAGCTGCAGAGAAAGCTCCTCCAGGATGGTGGAGGGAACTCTGGATTCAGCTCTGCACCTCCCTGGAGAGGGTGAAATATTCACACAAAACCCCTTTTCTGCTGAGTGCTGGCTGCTGGGTGCTRGAGTGACTCCAAGCTGTGCCAGGGGATGTGCAAACACCCGGCAGTGCCTCTGACAGCCTGGGCAGGACATCTGAAATTATTTCAGGAGRGTGAGGTTTCACTGCTCTCCATCACAGGAGGGACAAAAAATCTAGAGGAGTAATGGAGGATGAATTTGTAGTAGGAGAAGAGTGAAAATGAAGAATAATTGTGGACTGAGGTGGTGCATTGGGTTGCCATAGTTAAAAAGCAGACTCGAGGAATGGAGAAAAGAACCAGCTCTTGCCATTGTTTTTTTTGGTTTTTTGTTTTTTTTTT